TTTATTCACTTGATTTTCAATTAAAAGTTTTAAACTTTTCAAAAGTGTGATTTTTGTCTCAAAAGATAAATCCAAACTTTTTTTGAAAAAGCATTAATCAGTGATAAAAAAATATCTATTTCCACCTTGAGTGGTAGTAGATAATGGGCTCCACAAGTCAGAATGAATATATTCAAGGAAGGATAGATGTAGTTTTATGCTTTTCAGTATTAAAATGAAGTCTATGTTGTTTGCCTAAGGTGTAGTACTCACAGAAAGGAATCTTAGAAATAATATCGTTACCAAATGTCCCATTCTTCTCCAAAATGTACATGCATTTTTCACTAGCATGTGCTACTCTGTTATGCCATTTCAGGGTGGTATCACTTGATAAATGTAGTTTCTACACTTATTCTAGGTCCTAAATGATGATATTTTACTGTTCTTTGAATAAAATATTACCTAATTTGTGTTATATTTCATGTAAAACTCAATGTTTGATGAAAAATTGGAGAAAAGAATGCAAAGATAGCGAACAAAGTGCTCAATTGTATAAATTACAAAGTTCGAGGACCGAATTACAAATACTCAAAAGTTACCTCGATCCTCACAATGAAGATTTGAGAGTATTAGGTTTCAATTGGATGAGAAAATAAGCCAAATGGATGAAATACAGTCCAATTACTATCACATATCAACTTTCAGCCGAAAATGTTATGCTTCGAATTTTCAGGCTCACATTGAGATCCAATTTTTGCATAACAAGCTTTAGAATTAGAAAAATGATATTTCTATAAGAAATGTATCCCTATGAGTTAACTTTCTAATTCACTTCGAATCACCCCAATTGAATATCAGAAGAAAATGCTATGACAAAAATACTGAAAATTGTTCAACTACCGAAAATTAGGCTAGGCGCGTGCCCTCACCTGCATGAGAGGCGCGTGCCCCAACCAAAAATTTCCTGCCCAAACCCCCAAGTCACGTGCCCTAGGTTGCATTAGGCATGCGCCTCAAGGCTAAAAGGGAAAAAATCCCACTTTTCTTATTTTTGCTTTGGTAACAATTCAATACAATCTTTTTGGTATCATTTAAATACCAACCTCGACTAGAACGTGAGGGGACCTCCTTTCGACCTAAATTTCATCATATTCTACATATTTTGAAGGCAAAAAACAAGTCTATACATCAATTCAACGTTAATCATACAAGAAGTTTCAAGATTCATAGCCCGATTTCAAAATTTTGAGCCAAGAACGTGGTTTTGTCATATTTACTGCCATCTTTCTTATTTTTGGGTGACACTTTTCCAATTATTCTTTTATAATTTAATTATAAGAATGTTAGGCTAAATTTTTCATTGTATTGGATGAATGATGATCCATATTNNNTATTGGATGAATGATGATCCATATTAATTATTTATTTTATTTCAAGACAATTAGTTTAATATTTCTTGATTTTTCTTGATTGATTTTGCATTCCCATTGAACTATTTGATTGGTTGATCACCAATTAAATAGTAATTTGCTTGTTGTAGTGTAGGAATACTCACAATAAGTTTAGAACGTGGCAAAATTAACACATAGACAATATATATTGAGAATAATATATATGACATGTGCAATCATGTGTGATAAATCCTGTGAATCAATGTATGTTTTTCATATGAATTCGGACTAGAAATAAGATCGGGTTGTGTTAAACATATGTTTAATATATCTTGAAAAAGAATATTGAATAACAGTGGATTATCGATTATCTTGAATGCATGAATTTACTAAATTACGAATTAATAATTGAATTAAATGGCAATAGGGGGAATTCGAGATTCCAATACAAACATTTATATATTAAATAAAGACTTTATTTGTTTTATTAGTTTATGATTAATATAGAAAACATATAAACCATCTCTTTTGATATTACCACATTTCGAATTTAATAGTAGCTATTAAACTACAATTGGACATTATTTCTCGTGGGAACGATACTCTTAACTCACAAATCTTATTACTTGTACAACGATCACGTACGCTTGCGGATTTTATCCGAACATCACTTTCAACACTGCAGGAATCAGCGGTGTGACTCAGAACAACCTTGACCCTAGTGACATATATATAATTTTCTTTGGTACCTTTGAAAATAACTAAGGAACAGTTAATTAATTTCAAAGAACCAAATCCAATCCTGCCTTGCAGGCCTATGTAATCTAGATTATCCATTGAAATTAAATTTCTATTCAAATCAGGAATATACCTTACCCTTTTCTAGAATAAAGGTATATCCATTTTCAAATTTCAAAGTCACACTACAAATTCCCTTAATTCTACATGCAACATTGTTGCCCATAACCACCTCTCCATCATCAAGATCCTTATAGTCTTTTATCCAAGGTCTTCTAGAGGTCATATGGAAGGTGCACCCTGAATCCATAATCCATTCACTATTTTGATCGCTGTTAACTGCATAATTTGCAGTATTCAAATCAGTAATGGATTCTATCACAACATAAACTTCTATAGTCTATCATATAAGGGTTCAATTATATTCCCCTCATCAACTTTCATCTCCCTCTATTCATTTTTTTTCTTATAACGGTCTTTTATAAAGTCTACAGTCTTTCCACACCCATAACACTTTCTATTTCCACTTCTAGACTTTGATCTAAACCTCGATTTCCCCTTTTTCTTAGAAGTATTCTTTGACCATTTCCTTGCCTAGAAATAGATCTCTCTCTAACAAATAAACTCTCAGATTCCTTCCTTGTCCTGTCAGCCTTAAGTGCTAATTCCTTATTTCTTATATAATTTATCACTATTTCAGAAGTTAGTGTATCTCTAACATACTTAGCAGTTTCAACGTCCCTATATGCCTCAAGTATGGCATTCAGAAGGATAACAACCTTATATTCTTCAAAAACTTTATCTCTTGCATCAGTAATATCTTGAACTAACTTATTAAAAGTATCAACATTATCATCGAAGTCCTTAGACAGGTCAATCTTAAAGTTAAAGAATCTCTCTAGAAGGAAAAATTTATTAGACAAAGACTTAACGAAGTACCATTCTTCTAATTTGTCCCACAAAGCCTTAGCATTATCAAGATTTTCTATTTTTCTCAATACTTGATCAGACAAATGAAGAATAATAGAGGTATATGCAAGTTCATCGGATTCAGTTCTTTGATCAGCAGTTATAGTAGCTAGAAAATCACTAGTTATAGCATTTTAAACTTTTTGTTGATCTAGGACCACTTTAATTTTTTGCTGCCAAATGGGAAAATCTCATTTTCCATTAAAAACTCCAAGTTCAAATGTAGTAGTTNGAAAATCACTAGTTATAGCATTTGAAACTTTTTGTTGATCTAGGACCCCTTTCATTTTTTGCTGCCAAATGGGAAAATCTCATTTTCCATTAAAAACTCCAAGTTCAAATGTAGTAGTTGTCATTTGAAGTTTTTAATCAACACAATAAAAGGTTTGAGGCCAAAGTTTAATAGAAAAGAAAAACAAATATTCTAGAACAATAAAATGTCACACAAATACTTTGTCACACAAAAAGTAGAAACGAAATATCACACAATTCAACAGACTAATAACCACAGTGAAGCACGAAAGCAACAATGATATTAAACAGACTAAATGAAAGTTGTTCCAATTTCAGTATGTTAGAATTCACCAGAATTCTGCGAGGTTCACGACCTCAGGTCAAGGCACAATTCGAAAAACACCATAAATAAGAAGAAAGCAAGAATGGGAAACAGGGGGTAAACACAATATTAAAGATCAAAATGATAGGAGAGTTAGGGTTAGAGGACTTTAACCAATAGTTTCGAGGAACACTACAAAATACCCAGGGGTTTTACAGAACAATCAACAAGAAGCCCAAGATTTGAGTCTGTTCACCAAGAATCAACAAGTAACTGTTAGAGGACCAATATCTCCTTAAGAAATCACCACCAGAAACCAAGATCCATAAAAATAGAATCTAGGGTTTCACTAAAACATTATATCTGAAAGGATCTGGTTGTGAAATTGATTTTTCACACCCAGAACCACGATCGAAGAACCACATAGCCACCCAAAAAGCTCTGATACCACTGATATAAGCAAAAGACAACAGAAGCAATAACTCAAGAACACAACCAGTTCATCAACATCAAGGGATTGATTATCATATTTAGGGCTTAGAACAATACATTGTACCCTTCTGTACAAAATGAAATAGCCATAAAGACCCAAACCCTGAAGATCAAACAATCGCAGCTACTATAATAAAACTCAAGATCAAACAACTGATCTCAACACAAAACCCTCAATCGAA